TTTATTGCATCCCAATGCTCTCTTCTTGGATTCGCAAGGAAATGACTAACAACTCCAATTGCATGAGCTATGTCTGGCTTCGTACACACCATTGCATACATTAAGCTTCCTACTGCTGAGGTATATGGAACTTTTTCCATATCTTCCTTTTCTTTATCTATTGAAGGGCCTTGACTCGATCTCAACTTAAAGTGGTTAGATACAGGAGAAGAAACCACTTTAGCTTTATCCATATGGAACCTTTCAAATACCTTGTTAAAGTACCGTTCCTGTGACATGTGCAACTTCTTTCCTTTCATGTCTCGACAAATTCGAATACCAAGAATTTGTTTTGTTGGCCCTAAGTCCTTCATGGCAAAGGACTTACTCAACTGATTCTTTAAATTATCAATCCTTGAAGAATTTCTACTAACAATAAACATGTCATCAACATAGAGTAATAAAATGGTAAAATCATCAACAGAGAATTTCTGCACAAAAACACAATGATCAGAAGTAGTCTTCTTGTAACGGTGCTCCCCCATAACTGACTCAAACTTATTATAGCATTGTCTAGGTGCTTACTTGAACCCGTAGAGGTTTTTCTTTAACCTGCATACATACTCCTCTTTTCCTTTTACCTCAAAACCCTCTAGCTCTCTATGTAAATCTCTTTCTCCAACTCACCATGAAGAAAGACGGTTTTCACATCCATTTGCTCAATTTCTAAATCCAAGCTTGCTGTTAGACCTGGAACAACACGTATGGAAGACATCTTCACAATAGGAGAGAAAATATCATCAAAATCAATACCTTTTCTCTGACTGAATCCATTGACGATCAATCTAGCTTTGTATCGTGGTTGTACACTGTGTTCTTCTTGCTTTACCCTGTAGACCCACTTGTTCTTCAGAGCTCTCTTACCCTTAGGCAACTTTACCAGCTCAAACGTGTGATTGTCATATAGTGACTGCATCTCATCTTCCATAGCACCAACCCAGTGTGCCATACTTCTATCTTCCATCGCTTTTGCATAACATTGAGGCTCTCCCTCATATGTCAATAACACATACTCATCTGTATCATACTGAGTGGAAGGATGTCGGTCTCTGGTAGACCTCCTGAGTGGAATTTCTGGTTCTGGCAACTGATTAGTAGTATGGTGATCTGTTTCAACCTGCATAGGAGCATCTGCATCATCTGAACCCTGTTGGTCATCTTGAACATTCCGTTCCATCTGTACCAATAAAGGAATCGGATCTAGGTCAATCAAATCATCCCTATACTGATTGGCTCCTTTTTGTATATGCTCAACATCACGACTCCTTACTAGTGTTTTTCTCAACTGGTTCATAAAATCTGTAGCCAAATTCATCTAGACCATAACCAACGAAAATGCATTGTCATGTCTTCACATCGAGCTTATATCTCTCATCTTTTGGTATATGCACAAATGCATTGCAACTAAAAATGCGAAGATGATCATAAGAAACATCTTTGCCCATCCAAACTCTGTTTGGTACATCTTCTTAAAGACATCTTCTTAAATGAGCACCATTCATTCCAGAAAGAAGATTCTTTTTAGCCAACACTGCCAAGCCTTTCTCACTCATGTGAGCAAGTCTCTTATGCCACAATTCTGCTGTGAGTTCATATGTCACATCATTAATAACGCCTTTTGAGAGTCTTGCCTGCAGTATATACAAACTAGAATGCTTGTTCCCATGAGCAACAACCATAGCACCTTTAGTAAGTTTCGATTGTCCATTACTAAATGTATTGCAATATCCTTCATCATCAAGTTTAATTATAGAGATCAAGTTCAAACGAATTTCAGGAATATGCTTTACCCCTCTAAGAAGTAGCCTTGTGCTATTGTTCATATCCAAACGTACATCTCCAATACCAATGACTTTAACCAAGCCATCATTACCTAAATTCACTGTCCCAACGTCACCTGTTGTATAGGATGTAAAGAAATCCTCTCGAGACGTAGCATGAATGGAGGCTCCACTATCAATAACCCAACTAATCTCGTGACATTCAACATTGACAACATCTTCATCATAAACAACGAGAAAATGTTCTGTACTAGCGGTGGCAACTCTATCATTTTCCTTGCCAACATCACCCTCTTGTTCTTTGTCTTTCTTCTTGTTATCCCGCTTCAACTGTCTACAATATTTCTTGATGTACCCTTTCATGCCACAGTGATGGCACTCAACATTAGCAAACCTGTTGGACTTGCTTCTTCCTTTTTCTTTGTTCTTGAAAACTTTGCTTTTACTCATCCCTCTTCTTTCTGTAACCAAAATCTCTGACTGCTGAGAAGATCCATGTGATTTTCTTCTCATTTCTTCATTCAAAACACTGCTCTTAGCCAGATCCATGTTGATTACACCATTTGGAGCTGAGTTACTTAATGACATTCTGAATGTTTCCCAAGAGTTCGGCAACGTACCCAATAAACACAACCCCTGAATCTCATCATCAAACTTAATACCCATTCTAGCTAACCGATTGATTATTCCTTGGAACGTATTCAAGTGATCTGTCAACGGAGTTCCATCTTGATAACTTACAGCCATCAACTGCTTTATGAGAAACATTTTATTATTACCCATTTTCCGAGCATACAACTCCTCAAGTTTATTCCAGAGTGTTCGTACATGTGTTTCCCCACTAATATAGTTCAAAACATTATCATCTACCCACTGCCTTATATACCCACAGACTTGTCGATGTAACAAAGTCCATTCTTCTTCAGATACCTTTTCTGGCTTCTCAGAGGCAAACACAGGTAAATGAAACTGTTTGACATAAAGGAGATCTTCCATTTTTCCTTACTAAGTGTGATAATTAGAACCATTCAAAGTAATCATTTTACTCAAATTTACTTCCATTAAACAATAATAACCATGGCTCTGATACCACTTTGTTGGGGATTGAGACAATATATTAAACAAGCAGTGAAAACAACTAATTCAATCCCTCAATGTGCAGAATTAAAAAATGGCAGGAATAAAACCAGCACCAACAACTCACACACACTAGCAGGAATATAAATTGAACATCGAAATTTGTTAACGAGGAAAACCCTATGAAGGGAAAAACCCCGTGACCTAGTCCAGTAAAAGAGCCATCCACTATACAATAATGGGATACGCAGATTCTTCTCTAGCGCCACCTCCAAAGGCAACAAAGCATCAAGAACCCAGCA